TTCAGAGTTAAAGAATGCAAGATGATGTATTACTTAGTGCCCAGACGACAGTGCTAACCGTCTTTCACAAGTTCAGAGGAGGTAAAACTTGAGCAGAGCTGGAATGATATGAGCAGGGAATCTCAGGGGCAAGTGTGACTGGTCAAAGAATGTGCAGGATCTAATATCACCTTGAGAGGCAGCCAGCCCCCAAGGTGGTCCTCGGTGATTCTTGCCTTTGTATCGTTCCCTCCCATGTTGAATAGAGCTGACTTTTGTAACCAATAGGCTATTGCAGAAATGATGGAGTGTAACTTTTAGAACTAGGTCATACAAAATACTGTGGCTTCAATCTTGGTCTCTCTTGAACTCTCACTCTAGGGCAGTGAATTTTCAACCTTTTCCATCCCATGGCACACATAAACTACTTACTAAAATTCTATGGCACACCAAAAAATATATATTTTTGCTGATGTGGAAAAATATGTATAATTTTGATTGATTTACAAAATATAATAATAGTAATTACCTACCTTTTTTGCTGCAAAGTGACTTTTTAAAAAGTCAGGTGCCTATACTTGTATGTAAGGATTTCTGGTACCAAGAATTAACCAATTAGATGCAACCTCATTATGCAATGTGACCAATAATAATAATAATCTAGTATATGACCTATATATTTATGGTTCAAGACAGGGAATTCACAGCAGATAGGTATCATTGTGATGGCTGTTGTCATTTTTAAAAAATATATTTTATTGATTTTTTACAGTGAGGAAGAGAGAGGGATAGAGAGTTAGAAACATCGATGAGAGAGAAACATCGATCAGCTGCCTCCCGCACACTCCCTACTGGGTATGTGCCCGCCACCAAGGTACATGCTCTTTACTGGAATCGAACCCGGGACCCTTGAGTCCGGCAGCCTGACGCTCTCTCCACTGAGCCAAACCGGGTTAGGCCCATTTTTTTCTTTTGCCCCCCCTTCCAAAATAGGGGGGGGGGGGTTTTTTTTTTACCCCCAACCCCTTTTTCCTTCCTTCCTTCCTTCCTTCCTCCCTTTTTCCTTCCTTTTTTCCTTCCTTCCTTCCTTCCTTCCTTCCTTCCCCCCCCCCTTCCTTCCCTTTCTTTCTTTCTTTTTTTCTTTTCTTTCTTTCTTCCCTTCCTTTCCTTTCTTTTTCTTCCTTTCTTTCTTCCCTTTTCTTTTCTTTTCTTCTTTTCTTTCTTTCTTCCTTTTTTTAATCAAGGGTTTTTTTTTTTAAAATTTTTTTTTCTTTTAAAAATTAACAAAAAGGGGGAAAAAGGTTTCCTTTTTCCCCCCATGGCCCTTCCCCGGGTTGCCCCCCCCCCCCCCCCCCCCGCAAATGCCCTTACCCCACCCCCCAAGTGTCTTGTGTCCACTGGCTATGCTTATATGCATGCATCTAAGTCCTTTGATTGATCTCTTACCTGCCCCGCCCAACACCCCCATCTTTCTTCACACCCAGTTTTTAAAGAAGGAAATGACTGGAACGTGGCTCTCCTCCTACCTCAGCCTTCCCTGTGGAATCCCCACCTCCCCTCCTCCCTTCACTAGTTAGGACTCTATTCTGCCTTGCAAGGGCCACGCCAAGACGGAATGAGGACGCCGACTGGACGCCGAGGAGCGACGCACACCGCGACCTCCGCCCTCACCAAGCCCCGCCCACTCCGCCCCGCCGGGGCCCGCGGCATCCTGGGACCTGTAGTTTTTGGAAGGGAAGCGGCCTCCGCCAAGTCTCCGCCCCCAAAGCTGCCTTTGGCCCCGGACGCCGTGACGTTGCGCTCCTCCCGACCCTTGGCCTCCTCCCTCTTTCTTTCGCTCTCCAGAATCTCAATCCCAGGCTTCCGAGCACCTTTTACGACACTGAGTCTGAGTTGGTCTCGGCTCCGGGTCCACTTTTCGGCAAAGTGACGTGGACGTCAACAGCAATGGCGGAAGGAGAAGAGGTCCTGCCACTGCCACAGTCTAGCGACGGCCACTGGTGAGTGAAAGCCCGGGGCTGGTTCTCACCGCTCTCCGGGCTGCCTTCTCACCGCCCTGCCCGTCTCGGAGGCACCCGGGGGCGCCGGCGTGGGACGCGAAGGCCGGTCCCCGCCGGGTCCCAGCGCCTGCCCCGCCCCCTCCACCTGCCCGGTCGCCTCAGCCCCCAGGTGCCGGAGGGGCTAAGGCCGGACCCGAGGGGAGAGGGGTGTCCGACGTGCAGGGGCTGGGCCTCAGCTCGGCCCTCCCGCTTCGCCCACCGGCTTCCAGAGGGTGGAGAGGGTGGCTCTGGGCTGGCTTCGGCCGGAGGCCCTGGCCGGGAGGTCGGGTGGGCTGCTGGGGCGGGGAGTACGCGGTGCAGGTCTGAGGCCCCGAATACCATGGGAGGGCAGGGCCGTCGCTCGCTCTCGCTCCCTCCGCCTGCGGGTGCAGAGGTTGACAGACACACCCAGGAGGATCCCTCCGATAGAGTTGAGATACTTTTTTTTAAAAAAAATCTTAGTTTCTTAGATTAATCTTCGTTTCCAGCATTCTTCTCCTGCTCTTCACTCATTGTTTCCCTTCCTACCACTGTCCTCCCAGCTCCATGTTCACAGCTTTGGATGCGATGTGGGGCCCCGCTCTCGCTGCTCCCCCGCGTTTGCATGCTCGGGCTGTGGGGAGCACCTCCAATAATTTTGTTGCTAGACTTTAGTCACCCAGTGTTGTTCATCTTTGGGAAAGGCTCCTACTTTTGAGATAGTTGATCTTCATAATACAGCTTTAGGGTCTTATTAAAAAAAATGGAACTTTGAGAGGCTTGTCGAATTTTTACAATTGTTCGAAATGTACTGACCACGTGTATTCGATAATTTTAGATTTCCTTGTTTGTCACGCTACATGCATACAGCTCACTGGCATTGTTCATAAGAATAATCCAGGACATTTGTACACATGGACTTGAATCCCCGAGAAAAATGGAAATCACCGAAAGGGAGAGATAGAATAGTACATGAGAAATTCAGCTCTCAGTCAGCAGACGTCAAGCATTAGTGCATGTACTCTCCAAGGTGTATGGGGAAGATTTATGATGCCCTAGATGTAGTTTCTTTCCCCAATTTGCTTATATTGGAGTTGGGGAGCTCTGACAGGTACACTCAGTAGCAAGGTAAAATTGATCCAGTTATTTGGGAGTGTGGATAAAAGTGTCATGAGAGGTCAACACGTGGAGCCATTGGGGAAAGCTTCATGGAAGCAGAGGTGCTTGAATAAGGCCTTAAAGAATGAGCAGGATTTAGATCAGTGCTGTCCAGTACAAGTATACTGTGAGCCACATAGGTAATTTAAATATTTCTAATAGCCATGTTAACAACTAAAGAGAAACAGGTGAAGTTAATTTTTAATTATTTTAACATGTAATCATTGTAAAAAAAAAACACACCAAACAATTACATAATTTTACATCTTTCTGTATCAAGTCTTCAAAATCCAATGCGTATTTTACATTTACTCTACATCTCAGTTCGGTCTAACCACATGTTAAATGATAAATAGCCACACATGGCTAGTGATTAACTTTGGATAATGCATTTAGATTAACAAATGGGAACGGCCCCTAAATGGAGCATGAGCAAAGACATAGGCAAGAAAACGGATTTGTTCCGAGAGTAATGATAAAGCTTCGTGAAGTTTGCTGTTTTGGAAGAAAGAATTGTATCCTAAACTGTTAGCACCTGGTTGAAGGCCAGGAGGGAAATGTTTCTAGAGTTAAGGTGTCTTTGAGGAATTGTTTGGTTGGGATTGTGAGCATGTGTCTGGTTCACAGGGGCAAGGAACATGGCCTGAATGGTTGCTTGAGGTAGTATTTGTTCTCTTCTAGGGTTGCTGTCTCTTCGTTGTGGCTTTTTATTTTTGCTCTTTTTATTGTCATGAATGGAGGAACCCTGGGGTGGTCTGTGATTTCTGCTCTCCCTCCGTTCTCCTAATATTTCTCCTTTTTCTCTGCTGACTCCACTCACCAGTCCCCCTAGAAGTGAGTCTGAGTAGAGTCAGAAGAGACATTCAGATTTGGAGCACAGGGTTCTGTAAAGCCTCTGTTTTTAGAGTGCTTGATGAATGAATGGGTTGTTATAGAATGGGGAGGTTTTACATTTTTTTGGTAACTTTTTCAGATGGAAATTTTCTGAAGTGTGTTATACATCTCATTGCCTAACCTAAATTCATCTTAGTGACATGGGGTCATCCACTTTACAAATGTAAGCATTTAGGAATAAAACTAGGTCCCTGTCCTCAAGGAATATGTGGTCTAGTTAGAGGAATCACATTTAAGAAAGTCAGTTACTGTAACACTTCTGTACTAATAGTGAGAGCTTTAGGGCAGTTAGGGTAGATTGTTGCTGTTAAATGGCCTTCTACAGAGATCCCATTTGAGAATGCTTTTTATTAGTTTTCTCCCACTTTTTTCTTTGTTGTTATTGCTATTTCCCAATTTGTTCCTAATCTGTGAACCTAGGTAGCTAAATTTGTTAAAATTGTGTATATCTTTGTAAAAAGGCTCAGGATGGGGCCTGAAGCTTCTTAAAAGTACCAGACATCACTTTTACTTATTTACTGGTTTTCAGATGATTGCCTCTCAAAATTTAGATGCATTGGGTTTACCTGGGGATCTTGTTAAAAATGCAGATTCTGATTCAGTAGATTTGCTTGGGACCTGAGATTCTGTATTTCTGACTGACTGGCATCTGGGTGATGGCCGTTTGCTGGTTCATGGACCAATTCTACTCAACAAGTTCTAGATAATGTGTATTTCAGAATGAGTTCATCAGAGGAATCTACTCTCTATATTACATAGGATAAGTTATATTGTATCACCTAACATATTATACTATAATTTATCCGATTACATGGTTTATCATTGTTCTTTCCATAGTGAACTTCTCAAAGGCAGTGGCTGATAGCAGGTGGCTCAGTAAATGTTTATTTTCTGAATGTATGTGTATGAATGAATGCACATTTTTGTAAAATCATGTGCAATAACATACCACGTTGTCATTTCATATAAATTTTCAGACTCCAGTGTTTTTGTGAGCTGTGTAATTACTGGTATAGTGCTCACTTTTTATGGTAAGCTAAGGTTATCAGAAACTGCCTCAGCTCTCAAACTTTCTGAAACTGCAGCCATGTAGTTATGTGAAGATATCCTTGTAAAACTGCTTATGGTTAGTTTGAAATGATCTACGTTTAATTACTATAAACCACAGGTTTTTAAAAATAAAAAATGCTAAATTATTACATTTCAAACATTGGTAATTGCTCTTCATAGTATTGAAGAAATCAGCCTTGGATTTGAACATAAGGTCTCATTTTCTGGGCTTTCTTCCTGAAATAATTCCTAAAGATCTAAAGTCATGATTAAAAAATCTTTTTGTATAGACATTAATTGTATAACTGTTGGTATTCAGAGTTTGTTTTGCTTAGTTTAAAATATTTGTACAACTTTGACTTTAAAGTCATTTTAATTTATTGCTAAACTCATCTTAAATTATTGCTAAACTTTTCCTAAAATTGTAAAAATATCAGTATCATAAAGAAGCTTCTGTTGTTAATAGGAATTGTTTTGAGAATAACAGCGTCTTTTTCAAAGTTTTGTGCATTTGGTGAGTAGTATTCTCAGTGCTTCCCATTTCATAAGCATTGAAATATGAGAAGAGATTTAAAATGTCACTTGAGTAGGTGATTACAGTTTCAGACATGATATAATCAGTAAATAAATGCATTTAATATGAAAGAGAATGGAACCTGTTGTTTAAGAAGAATATTGACAGCTTGGGGTTCTGGGAAGACTAGATATCACCTTACAAAAAATGGAGAGCCCAGCCGGCATGGCTCAGGAATTGAGCGTCAACCTGTGAACCAGGAGGTCATGGTTCGATTCCTGGTCAGGGCACATGCCCAGGTTGCGGGCTCGTTCCCCATTGTGGGGTGTGCAAGAAGCAGCCAATTGATGATTCTCTCTCAATGTTGATGTTTCTATCGCTCTCTCCCTCTCAGAAATCAATAAATACATATTTTTTTAAATGAGGAGAAAATTAATCTAATCTTGAAATAGGGGCTTTAAAAAAATTTTAAATTCTTTATTGTTTAATGTATTTCATAAGTCACCTTTTTCCCCCATTGGCCTCTCCCCAGCCGCTCCAACCCCCAGTACATGCCCTCACCCCCTCCCACCCTCAGTCTGTGTCCATTGGTTATGCTCATATGCATGCATATCCTTTGGTTGATCTCTTACCTCCTCACCCCCTGCCTTCCCTCATAGGTTGGACAGTCTATGACTCTGGTTCTATTTTTGTTCATCAGTTTATGTTGTTCATTATATTCCACAAATGAGTGAGATCATATGATATTTATCTTTCTCTGACTGGCTTATTTCGCTTAGCATAATGATCTTCAGGTCCATCCATGCTGTTGCAAATGGTAGGAGTTCCTTCCTTTGTACAGGAGCATAGTATTCCATTGTGTAGATGTACCACAGGTTTCTAATCCATTCATCTGCTGATGGGCACTTAGACTGTTTCCAAATCTTAGCTATGGTAAGTTGTGCTGCTCTGAACAGAGGGGTGCATATATCCTTTCTGATTGGTGTTTCTGATATCTTGGGATATTTCCTAGAAGTGGGATCACTGGGTCAAATGGCAGTTCTATTTTTAATTTTTTGAGGAAACTCCATACTGTTTTCCACAGTGGCTGTACCAGTCTGCATTCCCACCAGCAGTGCATGAGGGTTCCTTTTTCTCCACATCCTCACCAGCACTTGTCATTTGTTGATTTGTTGATGATAGACATTCTGACAGGTGTGAGATGGTACCTCATTGTTGTTTTGATTTTCGTCTCTCAGATGATTAGTGACTTTGAGCATGTTTTCATATGTCTCTTGGCTTTCTGTATGTCCTCTTTGGAAAGGTGTCTATTTAGGTCCTTTACCCATTTTTTGTTTGGATTGTTTATCTTCCTTTTGTTGTGTGA